AAAAAATCAGAGCTTATAATTATCAAAACATCTAAAATATCAGCTGGTTATTTTGTTTATTTTTTATTGTAAATTTACGGTTGTCATGTGAAGTGTTTAATCGGTGGAAATAATTATATGGAATCTTCTGCCTCCCTACTACTTTGCGACAATTTTCTCGGCCTTTTGTATATCCTACAGAATTTAAATAAATATTCTACAGTAATCTAAGAAAACAGCTTATAAGTCATAGGGAAACGTAAATCTTATTCGAATCTGAACTTCGGAATACGGTTTAATAAATGAATATACACTAAGATGGTTATGATGACAAATCTTTTTTTACAATTATCAATCCTACTTATATTTCTTAATTTAAAATGACGAACTATATTTTTTTCCATTAAAACAAAAAATTAATCCCTTCTCTGAGAGGAATTAATTACGAAATAACTATAGTGAACGACAACCAATTAAGATCCACTTAAACTAAATGGCTTGTTATAACCTCAAAAGCTTTTTCCCGATGATTTGTCAATTCTCTTTAAAATGACTTTTTTTAATCAGTTTTTTTTCAATCTTTAAGAACACGTCTGTGAGCTATACATACTATACAGCTCCCCAGTGGCACAGCGATATGTCTGCGGACTTACAACGCTAGAAACCGGGTTTCGATACCCGTGGTGGGCAGAGCACAGATAGCCCATTGTGTAGCTTTGTGCTTAACTCCAAACAAACATACTATACAAATTATATTAAAAAGATTTCGAATATTGAACCATTGAACACGAAAATAACAGCAGTTATCTTTCTTAACACAGTTCAAAACCTAAATTCACCGAAAAACTAATCAAAACGAAAAATCAATAAACTAAAAAACCTTATGATCACAGCTTCAACTGACTATGTAGATGAAGAAATCAATTTTATAAAGCATTCTTTCATTCACACCAATAAATTTCCACAAACTATTGTCGAAAATGTTCCACCCAACCATCAGAACAAAAACCTCAAACTCAACTCACAAACAAAATCGACACTAAAAAATATAACACAGCATTACACTGCATTTTACTATCTATCCCTGCAATCAGTTGAAAAATAATAATCAACAGTTGGAGAAAACTTGCCATTAAACATAAAATTCCTGTTGACTTCAAATTCATTCAAAAACCCAGCCCTGAACTAAAATCATTACTAAGTAAAAGTTATTTAAAATCACACAATACCGACGTCATGTATAAAATAACGTGTAATAACTGTCCAGAATTCTACATCGAAGAAACCTGAACAAAATTGGAAACCAGATTCACCAAACATAATAAAATCCCCTCCCATGTTTACCATCAGTGGAACTAAAGAACAACAACAACACAATATATCTATACAAAACACTGTAATTTTAAACACACAACCAAACATCAACATACGCAAAATAAAGGAAGCTTTCTTAATTGAACAAAACAGCCCTACCATAAACCAACACCCCGGAGTATCAAAATACCTTTACTGAGCTATTAAGCAATCTCCCATTATGTGATCTCTTTATTAAATACTGTAACAGTATATATATTCCCGTGTCTATGTAAACTTCTTGTGCCTAATGATAGCATAAGTTTGTCGAAACGTTGTACATTTATAATAATTTTCTTCATTACCCACTTAAGCCGTCTTCAAACTTTTATTTTCTAAAAAGTGGGTTCCTCGTCATCAAATTTATAAAGAATATTTATCTTATTTGTAGTATTTCACGAAAACAACATTTTTTGTGTATATTTGGTAATCTCCCGTAAGTGGTCGTTGATTAGAATTTTGATTCATGTATATTTTGTGTTTAAATCTGCTTCCTGATGAAGAAAACCTTATAAATCGGACCATGCAAAAAAACTGGTTCTCGAAAAAATATTTAGACATGGTCCAACCCTGCGATATATTAATTGTGATGACAAATGAATTTTATGGTGAAGGGAAAATGCACAAAGGTATAACTTTTCATAAAAAATGTTTATAAATCTGTTGACTAAATTTTTAAAAATCTCTTACCGAAGGTGAACAGCCATAAATATATTGTAGCGCCATCTATTGGGTTTTTGACACAAACAGCCACTGGTGGTTATTATGTAATATGGTATTATCCCTAATTTAATTTATAATTGTATTCGTCTTTTTCCAAATATTCAAAGAACTCGTTGTAAGTATGATAACATATAATAAATAAAATTATAAGAATATAATAACATAAAATCCCGACTCAACCGTGATTTAAACGGGAGACTTCCACATCATAGTTGAGCGCTATAACCACTGTGACACCCAATCTTTGTAATCGAATGTTAACAAATAATTCAAATCCCAAATGTAAAGTATCATGTTATTCTGTTTTTTCCTAACAATGTAATATCTTGTTCTAAACATGAGGAGTTAATAATTTAAAAGTTATAAAAGAAAACAATCTCCACTTCACAGGGATTTTGAGCTCTAAGCCTTCTGCGAAAGACGAACCATTGAACCAATTTGAACGTTATCAAGAGTCGAGCGTTACAGACAAAGACTGTGTTAGAAACAGAGTGGCTTTTATATGTATACATCAGGTTGCCAAGAAATTAACGTAGCGTTTTGGAACGTACATCATGTATAATAGTTGAACGAACAGCCTAACCGTCACGTTAGTGTAGCCTATATAATGT